GTACACGCACGTACACGCGGGTACACGCACGTACACATATATATATATAGCGCACGGACTTTCATTATTTGATAAGTCGGAATCAGGAAAACCTACCAGAGCAGATCTCGGCTTCATCGCTCCCAGTAGGCCTAATAAAGCCCCGATCACAAACGCAACTGGAGCTGCCGAGGATGTTCTCACAGTGAGAATGGTCCATGACACAAACCCGGGCAGGCTTAGAGGCGCACTCGTCAATATCTGTAATGCGAATAGATACGCACTCTGATCATCCACCACTCTGTTGATTTGATTGACTAAGCCAGAGAAGTTTGGATCATGAATGTAATCAGATATCGTAAACGTACATGTATATGGATCGCAACCTCAGCCTGTCTCCTGTCCCAGCCATCAACTATCGTATTCGTTTTAGCCTCTATCACATAATTAACCCCCAACTTCTAAACTTATTTTGGCCCTCCACAACCCTCCTCACCCCCAACCGTAACTTGCTCAGCCATCCTCACCTCAGCCACCAACTTCCACAGTCATCCTCATTTTTCTAGAAACTAATCAATAATTTTTAGCACGTCAATAACTGTTAAAGAATAAAAAGCAACGGCATCTACAGGATGAAGAAACATACAACCAATGTGCAAGCAATAACTCACCATGCGTCTCGAAGTTCGTGCATGTCCAATCCACCTTTGCGTATTTATATACACCGCCGCAAGGATCATTGCCCCCAGATATCGTAGCGGACGACGACAATATTGTGCATTTTTGTGTCATGAGACAGTTGAAATCTACACTGTAAGTCTTGAAGGTACATGGGCCTATAGACGCATGCGGACACGTATTTGGGTCTTCGCGCCCATATCGAATCACCACAGTTTCGATCATTCCATCATCACAGGCGATGATATTCGAATCGTCCTCGCAAATGATCTGTGAGCATCCTTGCCCTGCGGAAGTAAAGGTACCATCCACTTATATCACCGCATATGTTATTATAACTTTCAATTGGAGTAATTGAATTCTCGTAATTCAAACAAATCATTTATGTCTACCAGAGAAAACTGTATTCTGAAGGTACTCTGCCAAGTTTTGTTTTGCCAATTCTCCATACCGGGAGTGAGGGCTAAAGCACGTTCACTCTCACATGCCCGTGCAATGAAACTGTTTTAATTATTTAAACCATAACACATCAAATATATATATGATAGAATAGCCTCATTCCATTACTAGTTACATTTTACATTTATTTAGGGTTACTACGATTTCTATGAAACTGTTATACCTTACATATGCCTTACAGAGATACCTCCAAGCAATCTACATGCATTCAACATACCTACAGAAGCACGCACGCACTCATTCAGCCCCCCCCCCACACACACACACAGAAAATCTCCAATTTATAGTAAGATTAACCCATGATATAACCCACCAAGTACGGAATTCATGTGGATCGTGGTTGCCTAGCGCACAACTATCGCTGCTTGCTCGTTCGTCCCCGATAAATTTGGTGTCAACCGATAGTTCAATATATTTGGCATCACCATGACGAAAGATAATGAATGATTA